CCCTTTTGCCAGGATTGCCCACACTTTCTCCAGCTGAGAGGTTCTCTGGCGCCTTGTCAGATATTAGTTGCATGGCTGGTGTGTCTCGTAGTTGCTTGCAGCTTTTTGAATGCAAAACTGCTCTTTTTGGGCCATGCAGGGCTGCTTTAACCACGGCATTGGTCAGCTCTGCAGGCTGGGTTTCCAAGCTGGCTGGCTTGGTCTAAGCTCATCCAAGCTCACAGCTCAGCTTTGGGCTTCTGCTGCTTTGCCCTGTGTGTGGTTTACTCACTGCAGCTTTGGGTAAATAGCCTTCAGGACAGCCAGAGCTCCTCCAGGTCTTAAAGACTCGGATCAGGAGGCAGCTTCAAGCTTAGCAGTCAAGGCCAGTCCAAGAAGCTCTCTGGAAGGTGTAGATTTTCCTAATGTTGCCCTTGAAGTTCTTGCTTCCCTGATTTCTTAAAGATAATAATAAAAAGGAGAAAAAAAAAGAAAAAAAAAGAGTAAAAACAGTTTCTGTGTGTGACCTCTGGAGACCCTGTGCATCCTGTGCTAGTGATGAGAGCAGGCAAGGAAAGTAATTGCAGCAGTTGGAATGAGTGGGTGGCAGAGTGGCGTTGCTTGGTGCCTGAGGACGCTCTGTACACGCATCCCTCCTAAACAAATATCTCTTTAAATGTGTATTATGGGAATTCAGGGAACAGCTTTTTTGGTCTGCTCCAAGTAGGAGTGAGGCTTGTTAATACCGTCTTCCCATAGACTTTCCAAGATGCTGAGACTAGGAAGCAGTGAGATGAGTAACATTTGCTTTTATCAGTCAAATCTGCGCTCTCCCTAGACAGTCACTTTAACCAGTAGGATGGGAAGGGAGGAAAGACTAGGTGCCAGTGGGAGTGTGATTTCCATAGGGGGAAGCACGTATCGCCATTCAGCACCACCACAGAAACAAGCTTTTCCCTGGGCATGAGTGTCAGTAGGAAAGAAATGATTTCTGTGATACAGCTTGATGCATTTGTGCTGGGTGTATGCTCACTGAAGGAGCATTAAATGTTACAGATACACATCTTGGAGGAACTGCATTCCCTTTCTGCACCATTCCAGACCCAGTGGGATTTGCATGCTTGAAGAACCCTGTTGGCTTGTACACTCAACTCACGTGTTTTTACAGGGTATCTTTCATCGGCAGCCTCCGACAATTCCCAGAGTGCTAAAGTGGGGGAGAGGAAGGTTTCAAGGTGAGATGTGCTGGAAGTGGAAGGGGCTGAGATGTTCTCAGAGCTCCAGACAGATGGCATTGATGGAGAAATGGATGCTCTGTCCCTCCACTTACAGACTCACAGAGTAAAGATTAAAAAAAAATAAGAAGAGCTGCATTTGGGTGGGTGTGAAATTTTCTGTGCAGGCTGGAAAGACCTAGGGAGAGCTGACAGCCTAGAGGCTGTGGAGCAGGGTTAATTACGGCTCTGGAGGGAAATGCCTGCAAGCAGCAATCTGGACTCCATTAAAAGAGATTTACAGAGGTCTTAATCRTGGGAAAAGCAGAATGGTGCACAAATGGCATGAGAAAGACTTTCCAGGGAGAAGGAACTGGCCAGTTTTAGAGTGGAAGATCCAAACTGAGACTTCTTTCTCCAGGAGTGGGGGGTTACCTGCAGCCCTGCTCGTCATCTGTGGGTAAGGGAAGTTGTATCAGCTATTGCAGTGTAATTGGAAATTGAAAAGGAGTATTCCTGTTGAGTACAGGAGGGTTTGCTTGCCTGAGACCTACCGGTTTTCACTGGTTTGTCTCACTGTTGCTGGGAGTGATCAGCTTGTCATTATTTATTTACTGCCACCTGTGAGAAATGAAGAACAATAGCCACTAATGTTAATGCTTTACATTTCATAATATCTTTCACCCTACAAGAGCCAAGCCCTGCAAGGGGCTGGTGCCATAGGAAGAGGTCCCACACTTGGGGTTGGTAGATGAAGTAGTGGAGATTTAGCTGTTCTTTATTGGTTTGTTCCCTCTCCTGAAGTATTTCTTTCAAAAAAGAGTTGCCCCATGGTATGAAAGCAGCACTGCCCATACTGTCTCCTGAAAGGGCTGTGTCCCTGTGCAGGTTTGTAGGCCAGCAATTCTTTGTAGGCACCTTTCTATTCCTTTGCATCCATAAAAGCCAATCCTAACACTTTTCTAGACCACAAATCTCRCTTCTTCATTTCTCTGCTCTCTCATTCTGGTTAAGTGAGTTTTGAGACTTGAGCCATGGTATTCTGTAAGTTTTGGGTTGGAAATGATATATTTATGTGTCTCCTTTTGGTCAAAGGTTTTAAAGATGTTTACATGCATCCATTCATAGCAAAATGCAGAGGGGATGAAAGTGTTCTGGAAGTAGATATCCTGCATGCATGTGAGACTCCCAGCATAATGCAGAGCACCTTTGAGATAATTTTTCTCTTGCTTAGTATTACTATGATGTTACTCCACTGATCTCACTGAGCTGAATTTGTTATTTTGGGAGTGAACATCTTTTCTGCCCGTATTTGCTGTGCTGTTCAAGCACAGTTCACTTTGGTGCTGCACAGAGTCTGCACCGAGGCTGAGAGCAGTCCTGGGGCTGGAGTCCTCACAAGGCTGAAGCGTAGGCAGCACGTGTCCGACGAGCCAGGATAAGGGGAACCCAGACCCTGGTTGTGTGCAGGGGTGGCGGGCAGGGAGATGAACCCAGAGATTCAGTGTGTGTGGGTTCTATGATTGGATCCAATGCAGGTGTTTGGTGACTCTGTCGACGGCACACAGGGTGACCTTGTAGGCGTCTCCAGAGTTTCTCCTGTCTCAGTTTCATCACCCGTAAAATAAGGATAATGTCACTAGCCTTGTCTGTTCAATGCTTTAAAAGCTAGAAATAATCTAGGAAGGAGCTTAGGTGCTATTATTATTTTATGGCTATCAGTGAGAATATAGTCAGATACGAAATCAAAGGGCATGCAYGTGCAGGCCAGCCTGTCCTTTGGTCAAAATGAGAAGAGGAAGGGGATTTCTTAAGAGCAGCTGCCATCTGTCAAGCTCACTGAAGAAATTACCAAGTGTGTTATCAAAAGTTATCAGAAGTTGCTCAAGCAGAAGTAATTTTAACATGCTAATGAGCTTTTAGCAGAGGTGCCCTGCTCCTCTAGGCTGGYGGTTTCCTTTTTGCAGCTCTCCAGGCTGGGCAGTGACTTTGTACGGCCTTTCAGTGCCTCTCTTGTCCTCCCTCTGTGTGGCTTCTGGGGAGGGTGAAATCATCGCCACTGAGCATTGCTCATGCGTATTATTTTGCATTGTGTGAGGCAGGCAGGCTTATTTTAACAAACTCTACATTTTTACAATGCCAAGAAGTGGGAGCACTGATTGCATTCCTGCAGGCTGCCTCTGTGTCCTAAGGATGTGCATTTCCATTTTATTGTCTTCTATTTTTAATCTCTTTTTTGGTGGAGGAGGAAGGGCTGGGACACCCTTGGGGAAGCCGGCGCTGGTGCGGAGGGAGGGACATGGTGCTGCTCCCRCCTGCCTGGGGAGGTGACACAGAGCCCACATGTGCCAAGTGCACGAGCTGCCCTCGCAGCCCCGCGTGCGGCGGGAGAGCCCCAGCTGCAAGGAAAACCTCTGGCTCCAAGGGCTCTTCCAAGCCCTACGGTACCAAGCCRCCGCTCCCTGCTGCGGGAATCTGCCTGGGATTAGCCCAAGCCTCCTGTCCCCCACATCTAGCGAAACAAGGACTTGCTCCTCTGTGCAAATAGGGTGACTCTGCTCCCTGAAGGGGCTGGCTGTGTTTCGGGGCTCTTGCTCTGGCCCCTGACACCGCCTGCATACGGTTCGCAGCTCAGGGCACCGCAGGCAGCGGTACAACATATGTTAACCTAAGAAGACAGCAGATGGGGGCAAGCTCTTTTAGGAACAGCTGCTGGTGTCTCATTTGATAAGCCCATTTTTAAACAAATCCATGGGATGGCACAAATACTAGAAATTAGGTTTTTCTCTCCCCTCTCATCATCATCCCTGGGCCACGCTTGACCAGCTGAACATGATCTGGGGATTAAAGGCTTGTTTTAACTTGCCTGTGACAGATCTAAGCCTGATCTCTGCCTGACCATTGGGCTACTGGCTCTTGGCTTTCCCTCTGCATCAACCGTGACCTTTGCTGTGTCCCAGGGCATGTGATGGTTGAGGGACAGTGATGGGAGAAGGGCTGTGGCCTTTCCCAAATGGCCTTGGTTTGGTGTGCAGTGAATTGCATGGCTCTGATCCTGCTGTTTTCTCTGTTTTTAAAATAAAGAAACTGGCATCAGAGAATGAAYGCCTGGTACTATAACACTGTCTCGGTACAAGTGGGGATGGGCAGAAAAAGGGCCCCTTGCTCTTTTCTGAGCTTGCTTTTATATATATGTATATAAAAAAAAAAAAAAAAGATGGAAATTGCAAAGAAAATCATGTCAATACTGCACTTCAAGCTGTCGGCTGAGGTGTCCTTCGTCACCATGGTATCACTGCGCTTCAAACTCATAGCGAATTTGCCAACACAACCCTCGTGTTACCGTCCTCCCACCCCCGAGGGGGTAGTTGTGTCACTGGTCCAAGGTCACCCAGTGAGCAAGTGGCACTGAGGAGGGAATGAGACCCCCAGGTTTCTCCATGCTTGGTGCTTCCCAAGGTGGGGAAGGGTTTGGCGTTGGAAAGGATCAAGTCGCCCTTGTCCTCTCCGCACTCGCGAACCACGGAGGGGGAGAGAAGTAAAAGTAAAGGGGGGGTGGGGGGGGGGGGGGGGGGACCGGGCTCGGGGCGCTGCCCCACGTGCGTGGATGCGGCGGGAGCGCCGCGTGCGACGGGGCGGGCGCTGCTCCGCGGGCCGGGGCGGTTCCGCGGGGCGGTTCCGCGGGCCGATCCGGCCCGCGGAACCGCCCCGCGGAGCCGCCCCGGCCCGCAAGGGAGCGGAGCGGGAGGCGGGCGCTGTCCATGGCCCTGCGGAGCGCCGGGCTCCGCCACCGCGCCGAGGCGAGGCATGGGCAACACGGTGCACAAGACGCTGGCAGGTACCGGCGGCGCCGAAACTCGTGACCGGSGGTGCGGGGCGAGCCGGGGATGGGGGGGGAAGGCGGGATCCACGCGGGATAAGCGGGTCGCGGGCGAGGRGTGCGTGTCCCCTGGCCGAATAGCCCTTCGGAAAGCCGGGGCGCATCGCGGTGATGCTCCGCAGCTGGGCTGGATCCTGCTCCGTGTGAGAGCAACAAGAGGAGGGTGAAGCGGAGCTGTTGTTGCCGCTGGAGAGGAGATCTCCAGCCTTTCTCCCCTTCTCTTAGGGGCTTTCTTTTACCTTCCCCCCACCCCGCTTTCTTTTT